TGTGAGACTGGGAACAACTACAGGGTGTGTGTGTGTGTGTGTGTGTGTGTGTGTGTGTGTGAGGGTAGGCAGTTAGCCAGGCCCATCCAGGTACTAGCTGTCTGTGTGAGATCCTGATTGGGGCACAGTGCATGTTCGGGACAGGAGCCAGCAAACGGGTGGTTTTCAGGGTGGATGGGTACAGGGCCAGGCACCTTGTTAATATCAATTGTGTTAGTATTTTTTCTTACATCATTAATTTAAAAAAAAATAAATATATAAAATGTGTGTGTAATTTTGTTAGTAATTAGTGGGTGCCACACATCCAAACAAGCACACATGACCTAAATATTGGTGCACAAAACTCACTCGGCTCATGGATGGGAAAAATCTTAGCAGGAACACTGGTGGTGGATACAATAGGCCACGAGAGGCTCCACCATGGCTCATGGATCTCCAGTCTCCAAGTTTGGCGGCAAAGCTTTTGCTTTATTATGCCCCATGAAAGTTTCAGTGTTCTTTAGCTTCCTGGGTTCATCAGTAATCCCTCTGGACTCCAGAGATTACTGTTGAACCTCCTCAGCTGTCCCAGAGCTTCCATGCAAATATCTTCCAAGTCATGCTTTTCCCTCATGACGACTTCGGTTTGGGAAGCAGAGGCATGACAGGCCTGGGGCCACCCTTCAGTGTATGGGGATGAGGGATGCTCAGGGCTTCTCTAGGTGGCGGTGGAGAATGGTGAAGCTGGGACTAGCCTCCCCAAAGTGGGACTCCACCCCCCAGCCCCTGTTCATTTTTCCCCTAAAGGCAATTATTTTGGGGGAAGACCACTAAAGTTAAACTCACCAACACGATAATCAAAACTGAAGTCTACAGTATAGTAGACAACCACTAGAGGTCGCTTAGCATATCTCTTTGCATCATTGGAGGTCTTGCGATGACCAACTAGCGGCAAAGCATGTTTTACCACGTGATCTTTTATTTCAGATCCTTCAGTAGAATCCTGTTTGAAGTAAAAAGAGTGCTGCACTTACTTAGAAATATACAACTTGAAATTGATTATTTTAATAGATGTATTTTGTCCAGGCAGTCCCCAGGTTACATGCAAGGTAGGGACTGTAGGTTTGTTCTTAAGTTGTATTTGTATGTAAGTCGGAACTGGCATCCAGATTCAGCTGCTGCTGAAACTGACCAGCGGCTGACTACAGGAAGCCCGAGGCAGAGTTGCTCTGCCCTGGGCTTCCTGGAATCAGCCGCTGATCAGTTTCGTAGAGCAGCTGGTGTGCTGCCAGGTTGGTCCCCGCAGTGCTGAGGTGCGGCGCTGCGGGGACCTACCCAGCAGCGCCCCAGCTGCTCTGTCCCAGGCATCCAGATTCAGCCCCCCCAGCAGACCAGCGAGACGCGGCCCCAGCAAACCAGGGAGATGCGGAGCAAAGCCGTTCGTAAGTACGTATCCGACGTAAGTCGGATCTGCGTAATGGTGTGCTGCCAGGTTGGTCCCCGCAGTGCTGAGGTGCGGCGCTGCGGGGACCTACCCAGCAGCGCCCCAGCTGCTCTGTCCCAGGCATCCAGATTCAGCCCCCCCAGCAGACCAGCGAGACGCGGCCCCAGCAAACCAGGGAGATGCGGAGCAAAGCCGTTCGTAAGTACGTATCCGACGTAAGTCGGATCTGCGTAACTCAGGGACTGCCTGAATTATAAATCATACACAATAAATCCCTGATGTCCTTGAACATAGAGAAGTTATTTACTTGTTCTGTTTGATCTCAGTCTGTGGAGATGGAAAAGGCACAAAGAGTAATTCTATGCCATTTTAGGAAGCAAAAAAGCTGGTTCCATTCTCTCCTCACATCAGTGAAAGTAAGGGGTAGCTCCACTTAGGTAAGTGGAGTCAGACCATAATAAAGCCAGAATTAGGACAAGTTAGGCCCATTGTATCTAAAACCAAACTCAAAACAAAGTAACAGTGAAGCCTGACTCAGAGGCTTTAATTAAGCCTTTGTAATCTTAAATAAATATCTAAACGTAGAGGATTATTAACAGAAACTGGAGAATGTAAACTGCTGATAGATAGAAAACAGACTTCATTTTTGCTAGTAGCCTAGAAAACTACTCACTTTAAGATCCAAAACATTCATTTTGGGCTCATCTTTTGATTGAAATTTTTCAGGTTGCATGACCACTAGTTTTCCAGGAGTCACTTTCAAGAACTTTGCAATCTCATTGCTGAAGGTGTGGTGGAACTTGTAATCTTCTCTTAAGCCATTAGCTGAGAAATTAAGTTTTGGGAGAAAAAAAATCATTAGTAACAAAAGCTGTCAGGCGCAGTAGTTTTGTTGACATTGCCCTGCAGTTCAGACTATGATGGTGTGAAAAGCAGGGTATACCAAAGTGCTGCGCTGCAATTCCTGTGTGGACACTGCATACATAAATTTAGAGGTTCTTAATTTGCATTCATTTAACTATCTTCAATGGTATTACCTTAATTTAGACTAGGAACTTTTAAGCCTGTTGCAGGCATGAACTAAAACTAGTGTACATGATGAAGTCTCTGTAACGTGAAGTCTTTAACCAAAGTTCTCCAATCATGTTTGAAGTCTCTGTAACGTGAAGTCTTTAAAACATGATTGGAGAACTTTGGTTACTTAGGCAGAGGTTTGGGTCTATTATAGAAGAGGGTGGGACAGACTGTGGCCTGAAAACGTGCGTTTGGGTCTATTATAGAAGAGGGTGGGACAGACTGGCCTGAAAACGTGCAGGAGGTGAGACTAGATCAATGCTTCCCAACCTTTTACAGATGGGGACCCATTTTGACAATTCAGGAAGATTTGATGACCCACAGCAACTCAAAAATGGGGGGAGAAGAAGAGGCAGAGCCACCTGGGGAGACACTTGGCGACCCTTTTGAAGTGTAATGGCAACCCATATTTGGGTCACAACCCATAGGTTGGGAAACCCTGGATTAGATGATCACAATGGTCCCTTCTGACCTTAAAGTCTATGAGAATCCACACATGGGAGTTAAAGCACATAACTTTGTTACACACGGCTATTCACATCCCTGGTCATCTCAATTGCAAGTGTAGATATACGAGAGTTAAAGGATTTTAATCATAGGGTTTGAGGCAGTTCTCCCTTTGCCCAAGATTTGGAAAGGAGTGGCATCACAGAGACCAAACTTTATACTGGATCAGATATTACTGTATTTCCACACATAAGGTGGAGATAAGTTTAGCATGCACCTCAACTGAAATCTCCCCTGAAATTTATTCTCGTATTCCAAAACCTTGAGCAACTTCAGATAGTGGATTTATTTTAATATTTTGGAATACCAACCTTTCAAAGTAATATTTCTACAGGCATGTTAACAAGAAGATGATCAGAGAGGGTGTGCGGCCCCTACTGGATGAAGGAGGTAACCTAGTGACAGATGATGTGGGGAAAGCTGAAGTACTCAATGCTTTCTTTGCCTCTGTATTCAAGGACAAGGTCGGCTCCTGAATTTCTGTGCTAAGTGCCGCAAGATGGGATGAAGATGGACAGCCCATGGTGGGTAAGGAACAGTTTAGGAACTATTTAGAAAAGTTAAGGTACACAAATCCATAGGTCTGGACTTAATACATCCGAGGGTACTGAAGGAGTTAGCAAATGTCATTGAGGAGCCTTTCGCCATTATCTTTGAAAAGTCGTGGAGATCGGGAGACATCCCAGATGATTGGAAAAACGCAAATGTAGTGCCCATCTTCAAAAAAGGGAAGAAGGACAATCCAGGGAACTATAGGCCAGTCAGTCTTACCTAGGTTCCTGGAAAAATCATGGAAGGGACCCTATAAGAAACTTGTTTCCACGGGCTCTGCGGGGGAGTAAAGGGGGAAGGCTAGGTTGCCAGGACGCGGCTATTCGAACATGCCTTCCAACGGGAGAACTCATGACCTTAGATCATCTCTTTCTCAGGAGCCAGGGGAGAACGCCAGCAAAGTCCTCAAAGCGAGGTCACGGACGGCGAGGCGGGCAAATGAGTGAGATTCTACTTTTACAAGCAACGTCTGGACGTCTTGCCCTGCTGTTTCACAGCCAGGCCTACGTGCATTCCTCCACTCCAACTTGAGCCGGAGGCAGGGCACGTTATTAGCATCTCACGGCAAGGCCTACGGAACCTCGCTGTTTCTCTGCGATCTCCCCTCAAAGCATGGACCAGTCTGCACCGGCCTACCTAACAAACAACCAGGGAAAGATGCACAATTTCAGAAATACCAAACTGGGAGGGGCTGCAAATGTTTTGGGGGATAGGGTGAGAATTCAAAATGATCTGTACAAATTAGCAAAATGGTCTGAGGTAAAGAGGATGAAGTTTAATAAGGACAAATCCAAAGTCCTTATTAAAGTCTGCAGGAAAGAACCTGGAGGTTACAGTAGGTGAGAACCTGGATGTAAGTCAACAGGGTGCCCTTGTAGCCAAGAAGGCTAATGGCGTATTAGGTTGCATTAAGAGGAGCATTGCCAGCAGATCCAGAGATGTCATTATTCCCCTTTATTCGGCTCTGGTGAGGCCACATCTGGAGTAGTGTGTCCAGTTCTGGGCCCACACTACAAAAAGGATGTGGACACATTAGAGAGGGTCCAACGGAGGGCAGCCAAAATGATTAGGTGGCTGGAGCATATGACTTATGAGGAGAGGCTGAGGGAGTTGGGTCTGTTTAGTCTGCAGAAGTGAAGAGTGAGTGGCCTTCAACTTCCTAAAGGGAGGTTCCACAGAGGATGGAGAGAGGCTGTTCTCAGTAGTGACAGGTGGGAGAACAAGGAGCAATGGTCTCAAGTTGTGGTAGGAGAGGTCCAGGTTGGATATTAGGAAAAACTATTTCACTACTTCAATGGTAGTGAAGCACTGGAATGGTTTACCTAGGGAAGTAGTGGAGTCTCCATCCCTAGAGGTGTTTAAGTCTCAGCTCGACAAAGCCCTTGCCAGGTTGATTTAGCTGGGATTGGTCCTGCCTAGAGCAGGGGGCTGGACTTGATGACAGTCTGAGGTCTCTTCCAGCTCTATGGTGCTATGATTCTATGGTGCTTTCCCATATATGGGACTATGGAGCAGTTTGTGGTGTTGAAATGGCCAGATTAATCATCAAGCTGCACTGCCATGCACGTCATCAGAGCAGTAAGAATTAATGAGCAAGCTCTGCACAGGGAGAGGAAAAAGGGAATATCTTGCTGTTCTCTATCCTCTCAGGTGGATGCCAAGACTGGTTCAAGAGAGGTCTGTGTCCACTAGAGGGATACAAGCAGTAACAGTTGGCCTCTTCTACAGTTAAAAACCGCACTCCCTTCCGGACCACTGAAGACTGAGTTGTCAGTAAATAGTCTTGCAGCACCTTAAAGACTAACAAAACATGTAGATGGTGATATGAGCTTTCGTGGGCACAACTCACTTCTATGAAAGCTCATGATACCATCTACACGTTTTGTTAGTCTTTAAGGTGCTGCAAGACTATTTGTTGTTTAAGTTTTTCCAGTTACAGATTAACTCTGCTACCCCTCTGAAGCTTTTGAGGGCTCAAAGATTTCCACTGGGGGACTGAAAAGACACACAACACTTCCCCTTCTCTTCTATCCCTAGCCTTCAAGATAGAGCCTCTCTTCCCTAAGCTTCTCCTGCCTTCCCTGAAGAAAATGAGACCTTTCCCACCACTCTGGCTTTGACTTTCCACTGCTTCCACCAAGTATTCATATATCCTAACTCCTGAATTACCTCTCAGCTACCAGCCTTGCCTCTCCACAATCTCATACTATTGGTCCCGTGTCACCTTCTCTCCCACTATCTGGCCTGGCTTGTTGCTGCAGCCATGTAGCCCGATTTTTCCCTGCTGGCTCCCTATTCGAGGAGCATAGGCAAGTGTCATATTGAACATGCAGGCACGCGGAGAGGTCAGGACTAGTTTCTCTCAAGAGTCTTAAGAGTACTTTAGCTACCAGCAGACCGAAATCCTGACTCCTTCACTGGCACAATGAACATCCCCAGAGTGCCCAGGGACCTGGGCAAGCAGTGTGTGGGGGATCTGGCTTTATGCTCCCAGAAGGGGATGGGCCTTGTTTGAAAGGGAGGAGCCAGCCCTCAGAGCTGCCTGGAGCATGCCGTGTTGCACTGCACATCACTGCAGCTCTGATTTAAAGGATCCAGGGCCCTTTTGAAATCACCAGTGCGGGGGACAGCTTCCCTCCGTACCCCACCTACACATCCTAAAGTTGTCCCAAACAATCACAAAATAGCTAGCCTTAAGAAGGCCTCTGAGAAGTCAGCTAGCTTCCTAAGGATCAAAGATATGCTGAAAAGCTAAAGTAAAAATTCAACCCAAAGCAAAAAATGTGTGAACACTTCCCATCAGGAAGCCATGGAAGAACACTTAAAAAAATACTTTACCAGCATCTTGGTACAGCTGGTAGACTTTGTCCATCTCTCCACTGAATATTCCAATGATGATGACATCATCACCATCCTTCAAAAATTCTTGGACCTGTTTGATAGCCTGAATCTGTTTGGATGGAGGACCAGCCTGCTCAATCATGTAATCAACAATACCTGACACAAAAAAAAAAAAAAAAAAAAAATGAAAACGTTATTCAGAAGTTTTACTTGAAAGCACAGTGTAGGTATTCTGCCCCGTAACAATCTAAATCTTGTAAAGATTAGGGATATTAAAATGAATTTATTTAGGTAAATGTGTAACTACTGAAAGTGTCAGCAGATACATGTTTACACAAGGTGGAAATGACTCCTCTGGAGCCATCTGTCCCACCCCCCCCCCCCCACTGCTGTCACTGATACAGAACTCAAGAACTCTTCCTCAACAGTACAAGCTAGGACCAGCAAATTTGGTATAAAGTAGGGATGTTAAGAGTGTAATTGAATAGTCATGTAACCACAGGAAATTTTAGCAGTTACATGACTATCCCAATAGTCCCCAGGGGCGGAGCTGGCAGCCAGTACACTCTCCACCCCACTCTGGGAGCCCCCTGGTACCCTGCGCTGCTGCCTCTTGATCTGCATGGGGTAGCAGGCAGGAGCAGGTCCACGGAGCTGGCATGCGCGGGGAGACAGCTTGAAAGCTAGCTCACTGCACGTATCAGCTCCTGCCTGCCCCCCCTCACCCTCCACACTGCTGCCTCTCTATCCCCCTCAGGTAGATACTAAGAGTGGGGAATGTGTGTAGTCGTCAACACGTTGACATCGCTAATAGAAAAGCTTCCTTTTCTCCTAATGTAAGCAAGGTCAGGGTTTGGTTATGCCAGGATATCTGGAAGTCCTGGGAAAAGGACAGTTTTCCATAACATGTGAAGGGAAGGGCTGCTGTTTAGAGGGACGCAATACAAGAGTGGCCATTGGGGCAGTGAGCCTACAGGGGAGACCTATCCTGCAGAGTGTCCATTGGGGGCCACCAAGGGAGTGGCCATATTACTAGGGATGTTAAATATCAACTAATTGATTAACGGAATAGTCTATGCATTTTGCATGGACTATTCCATTAGTCGATAGGGCACCTCCGCCTTTGAAATGTAGCAACAGTCCTAGGGCTGTTGCTACACTTCAAAGGCAAAAGTGCTGCATAGAGCCTGAGATCAGCTGGGAACTCCCCAGCTGACCCCGGGCTCCCTGTGGCACTGGTGCTTTGAAACGCTGCATGCAACCTGATGTCGGGCTCCCCGTAGCGTTTCAAAGCGGCAGCGCTACATGGAGTCCAGGGTCAATGGGAGAGTCCCAAGGTGATCTCGGGCTCCACATCACATGCAGCCTGGGGACACCGCTTTGAAGTACCCCTTTCTCTCCCCCCTCCCCCCACATCCTACCCCCCCGCTGCCTCTTTGTGAAAGAGGCAGCAAGCAGGGAGGAAGCTACTAGTCGACTATCGGATAAGCATTTGTGTATCAGATAGTCGACTAGTCCTTCACATCCCTACATCTTACTTCCCAGAACACTGAGTAAATAGCCCTCCTGCCCCAACCCTCTTCTTCCCTCCCAGCCCTTGGTTACGGTGCTAGGGGGTGGAGCTAGTGGCCAGGGTGTGCAGGGGGAAGGGGGAGAGGAGAAGAGACCTGTGCTGAATGAATTCCCCCCCCAAACCCCCTCTACTAGGGATGTAATGGTTAACTGGTAAGCCTCACCCTCAATGGGTGAGGTGCTCCAGTTAACCAGTAAGGGCCGGAGCAACTCCTCGCCTGCCCCGGGCAGGGGCTTGCTCAAGCCCCATGGGGCCCTCTGGAATAGCCCCTTTCTGTAGCAGACCCAGCCCTCCCACAGCAGGTTACACACTAGCTCCCCAAGAAGCTTCACTGTAGGACCTGCAGTATAAAGCATGTAACTGCTATGATTTTTTAGCAGTTACATGGTTATATTTTTAAAAATGGCTTTTTACATCCCTACTCCTCACTCCCCATCCTTATCCTTGCTCACACGTCCCCATCCTCCTATCCCTTTTCCCCTAAGGGTCTGCCCTAAGTCCTGCACCTGCTACGCTGCCAGGACCCTGTCCTGAAGGACCTGGGCAATGCCTAGATTAACATATTTTAGTTAACTGATTTGACTTCTCACATGTGAAAAGGTGCTACAAGACCCAAGATTCTAGGAGATTCAATCAAGCCTGTTAGCCTAGGCAAAGGAGAGAATGCAGTTTTCATGTCCTATGATTCCAACTGCACCACAGCATTATGTACACAAGATTCCTTTTACTTTTAAATGTTTGTGGTCCACCCATCCCTCCATCTCCCAATTCTAACTCAAAACAGTAAGACCCATTACCATATTTTTCTCGAGGGCCATTGTAGTCAAAAGGCTTGCCCTTGCGGAAGATTTTCAGAGTTGGATAGCCAGAGACATCAAACTTCTTTGCGAGATCTGTTTCAGCAATGGCATCTACTTTAGCTAGAGAAATGGGGGGCGTGCGTTTGCTGAGCTCCTGGGCAGCTCTCTCATATTCTGGAGCGAGCCTTTTGCAATGTCCACACCTAAAAGGAGGGGAAAAGAGGGGATTTGTAGGGGATAACCAGAATGTGTTTACCTCTGAGCATGAGAAGTAGGGCAATTCACACTTCCAGAATGGGAAATAAAGATGTTAAATTCTTAACTCCCCCTCCCCCAGTGACTCTTCAGAGAGGTGTTTTCTTAATGAAGGCTGTACATGTCCTAGTATTAGCCACATCACAGCATGGTCTCAGACTATTAAATATGGAATATCTCAGTGATTCAAGTTGCACAGCATTTCTCTTTTAGCTTTTCACCTGCTGAGAACTAGATCTTAGCAATGGATTCAGTTGAGTTTAAAATGACCAATGATTTTGCCATAGCATGTGTGGGATCTCCCCCCCGCCCAAACCCACAACAGCAGTTAACTTTCTCAGAAGCGCAGGACTGGAGTAAGAGGGCTGATAAGAGTCAGAAATGCATGTTAGAACTATAGATATTTGCACAGTGTTTGACTGCACTATGTGTTGCTTACTCCACTGATAACTCTGCCCTCATGAGAAAGAGGTCTTTAAAAAGTTCAAGTCTGGCACAAGTAGCATTCCTATTTAAATACACAACTCATTTGAAACTGAATACCATTCTAAGGAAGGGACTGGTTTATAGGAAAACTAAGCCTAAGAGGTGAGAGCCCAAAGCTACCCATCCGTTACAGTTTCATGGCCATGCCACCTCTGTGAAAGAGGAGAAATGTACATTGTCTTACCATGGGGCATAGAACTCCACCAGTATTATGTCAGCATCATTCACTACTTCATCAAAGTTCTCTTTGGTCAACACCAAGGTAGCTTCCGGCGGAGGGGTCCAATTTGGATCAGAAACTTCTTTGACTTTAGCCACAATCGCTGAAAGATAATACAATACAAGAGTTCATAATTCTGCATAGCTATGCCAATTGTATCTTTCCCAGTGCTACAGTGACAAACTGTAAGGAAGATATGAGATCACCAAGAATTTGAGACTGAGTGATTGAGTATTAGCTCGGACTGAGCAAATGGCTAGGACCAAAGAACTCCTGAATTCTAATCCTAACTACACCCCTTCTCGCTTGGGCTCCTTTAGTACCTTACTTCTTTGTTAATGGATGCAACAAAAAGGCAAGCAATAAATAAAAAAAAGTCAGTATTTTAAAACTCATGCTCCTCCAGATTTACAGAGCATAGGTACAGTACATTGCAACAAGTTATTTCAGGGTCTTCTTTTCTTATTAAAGATTTTGGAATGACAGTTCTTGAAGACAACTTTTCTCTTAGCCTAGACTGAAGTATAGTAACATCTCATTAAGTGTCAAATAGCAATGTCACATCTATTGCCAATATATCAATCCTGACACTCTTGTTGGCTGGCCTCTCTCAAAGCATGAAAGATAGTCATTTGGCTGTTAAAGTAGTGATATTCTATGTTAGTTTTACCTGGTGAAGCTATATTGTAACATGAAGCTGTTCAAAAAACCCTAAAAAATCTTGGCTTTAACATCCACTTAAAAGAGAACTGAAATGAAGGTGGTGTTTGCTTAGGAACATACAAGTACAGCTTTTTACTACATGCTGTACAAAAGATCAGGGATTTAAGATACTACTTCATCCTTCCTTTCATTTCACTGCATTAAACCCTGGTGAAGCTATATTGTAACATGAAGCTGTTCAAAAAACCCTAAAAAATCTTGGCTTTAACATCCACTTAAAAGAGAACTGAAATGAAGGTGGTGTTTGCTTAGGAACATACAAGTACAGCTTTTTACTACATGCTGTACAAAAGATCAGGGATTTAAGATACTACTTCATCCTTCCTTTCATTTCACTGCATTAAACTCAGAGTTCAATCTTACCATCTTCTGTTCGGGATCCATCATAATCAACTGTCTGCCCCTTCTTCAGAATCTTGATGGTTGGGTAGCCGCTAACATCAAAACGCCCCCCTGCCACAGCAGGGGCTGCAGTAGCATCTATTTTAGCAACTGGAATGGGAGGATCATTTTCCTTCAAAGTCTTGGCTATCTTTTCATATTCTGGAGCAAACTGCTTGCAGTGTCCACACCTGTAAATTCAGCGTCATGAATCTGAAGGTATATTTTGCTACTCTGCATTTCCACACAGTGTTACACAAGTCGACCTCAGAATTAAGATGCTATTTTTCTTGCCATGATGTCAGATCTAGACTAGACAAAGTAGTGTCCAACTATATTTTTAATAGTTTGCTGCTTCTCTTCACAACCATGACAGTTCTTACAGTGACAGTGATTATCACAAGATAGACTTAGACCATTGCCCCGCCTCACTATAGAGGAAGAAAAGCTCTACAGATATTAATACTGTGCATTATAATTTCCATTCACCACCAGTCAAAGTCCTAAACCCCTAACATTTCCAATCAGCAGTTCGCATGTTTTTTGGTCACAGCCTAGGAATCTTGATAGGATTTGTCCTTATGATTCGCAAGGTCACACATTAAGTTGGGATGAGGCAAGGAAGAGAAGTGAGTTTCCTCTATGTCGGATGGAAAAGGACCAGGCCACTTCATGAGTTGCAAATACTTCTTAAGAAGTTGCTTGGGTAAAAAAAAAAAAAAAAAAAAAAGTGAACCCCCTTTTAGGATATATATATGTGAGAGAGAGAGAGAGAGAGAGCGCGCTATTTAGCACACCAAATGATTTTAGAATGTAGTGGCAAAGAGAGGGAAAGCCCCCCCACAAAAAACAAACACCAAACAAATGGAAGACCAGTCAATACAGTAAACAGTTCTGTAAATTGCTGTGCATGTGGGCCCCCCCAAAAGAATGCAACAGCCAACTTTTGGTGATCAAGTTGTCAGAAGACTGCTCTTGTATGAAAAGAGCAGAAGAGATGGGGACGACTAAATGAATTGATGGTCTGATCCAGCATGACAAGTCTTATTAGTATTATTTAACTCTTACTGTAATGTATTTTTAGATGGCAAGACTGAAGGGAAGTTTCAGAAAGTTTAAGCAAGATTCATTCAGCTATTTAAGGGACCACCAACCACGACATTTTAAAAACTGCAGCCCACTATTTGAATAAGGCTACAGCAGAAGCAACTAATTGTGAATCCTGGCATAGATGTTACCAACATTAAAGACTTGGGGTGAAATCCCAACCCCACTGAAGTCTTGGTAATGACTGTGGCAGGGGGCGGAGAAGAGCTGAGAGGGGTGGGGAGGCAGTAGGAGGAGGAGGAGGAGAGAGAGAAAAGGAGATCACAACTAAGCATATTCAGCTGGAGGTTATAAACTTAAGGAAGAAATAAAAGGAGCCGAACAAACAGAGTCCCATCCACCCAAGACATCAATGCACACACTCTGTCTGGCCATCTCAGAAATCCATACAAGGGCTAGGACTACTGAGACATTCTAGGTTACAGAGAAAGTGATAGTGCTATTTACACAGGGAAATCTTAAATCAGTCATAACATTAAGGGCAGGTGAAAAAAGTTAACTCTTCCAGATTCTGTTCAGATACTATAGCATGGAAGCCAACATACATTAAATACGTTCATCTTGGTGTTAATTGGGACAATTTGTCTAACGTTAACATTAAGTGAAGACCATCTCATTTAAAAAAAGGGGAGGTGTTGCATTTAATTTCCTTGGCTGCTTTTATGCTAATACATTGATAAATTGCAGTTTTAAAAAAGAAAGTCACACAGAATTGCTTTAGGAAACTTGTGTGTTGCTTAATTCTGCATCTTGCCAACACACAGTTTCTGTTTCCATGTTTTCCCTTTTACTGTTTGTGATGTACAATGCACTACATTAAATATACTGGCCTATATTCTCTTTCCTGTTGTATTATGTAAATTCAGGACAACTCCTGAGAGTGTACATGAGTTACACCAATGTAAACTCAGTATCTGCAGAATTGGATGGAGAGGTGCATGAAACTTAAGAGTGTAGACATGAAGGGGTGTGTGTGTCAATTTTTAGTTATACTGTATCCCTATTTACACTGTTCCAGCAATGTCAAGTGGCCTTACAGTGGGCAGAAACGGTCTTCCGTCAATCTTCTTGAACAAATTGCTCCCCAACCAGAGAAGCACTGGTGTACAGACCCAGACCGAAATGGAGGGGGATGATCATGGGTTGGCCAGAGCGCACTCCATTATGGCTACTTTCTGCTTTTTGGGGCCATGGAGTACCAAAGGAAGCAAAGCCCGGCTGCACCTAGTAACAGTGGAACCCTGCTTGTCTTTGGAATATAGGCAACTAGAGACTAAGTTAATCTGAAGCTGCTTTTGCCTCCCAATTTAGTCCCAACTCCAGACACATTAAGGATGTAACTAAGAGTCAGGGTCACAATTCCCTTTTCTGATGTTAGGCTGAATTATGGGTGTGGAGCAGGGAGGATGCAAGGGGCCTTCTCTTTCTTTTTTTCTCCCACGTGACCTGCCTCAGAATCAGGCACAATTGCAACACTGGTGGTCAGAAAAGCTGTCTGCACTTCCTCAGAGATACACAGTGCTCTGAGACAGAGACCTGGTTCCACCTTAGTATGGCCAGCATCAGGAGAACAGTCTGCAGTTCATACATAGGTTGTAGTGACAAGCATACTCCTAGACTATGCTGGGGAAGAGTTCTATCTCCTAGGAGCAGAATGCTTCCCGATGTCCCCGACTCCCGCCTGCAATCATGCCATAAAATATCCCACCTTATTCTAGGCTGGGGTGGGGAAACCTCAGGCTCAGGGGATGAATCTGGCCCCCTGAGTGTCAGGCCCCTCTGCATCAGGGAGCCCACAGTGGTACTGCGGGGCTGCAACACAAAATCTACTAAGCTGGGCTCCCCTAAGCTGGTGTGCAAGTGAAACGTGGGCAGTGTCTTTCTCCTTCTCCATCAGGGACACATGAGTGAGGGTTTTTTTTGGTTGCTTCTCACTTGTGTAAAGCTCTTGACCCCAAAAAAGGTTCCCCACCCCTGTTCTAGGCTGTGCCTTACTGGCTATGTAGATTTGTATGTAATTAAGCAGCAAGTGACAAATCTGTCAACTGAAAGTCATCAATGGGTCACAAACCCAGCTGAAATATGCACATTAAAATAAATGCAACTCCTGAGGAAAATATTTAATGGAAGGCTTGAACCTTAGACCTATCCCATCCAGGAAATAAGGGGTACAGAAATGCTGCAAGTTTCAAACCTACCATGGTGCATAGAACTCCAATAGCACAGTATCTTTGTCTGCAACAAAGGTATCAAAATTTGCATCATTCAGAACTATGACGCCATTTTCTTCTTTAATTTCGGAATCATCATCTTCATCGTCATCTTCGTCGTCGTCGTCATCATCATCGTCGGCATCCTCTTTTGTAACAGATTCTAGAAAAGTCGAAAAAATACAAGATTGGGTTGATTTAAGTTTAGTGATAAAGCAACATGACTGGTTGAAAATTGCACTTACAAAAATAAAAAATAAAACCCCTTTCAGAATATGATCGGAGCGTAACCAATGCAGCTATGACTGCCAGTTTGCGCAGAGAGCCCAGAACAATAGCTCAAGTGTGCAGTGCCCTCTGGATTTCAATGGATGCTAACTCAGATGCCAATGAGGATCATATGTTAAATGACAACACAACTGTTCTGCTACTCAACACAAAAAACGAGTAAAGCAAATATGAATATTAATATCAGCATTTCCCCAAGTGTGCAGCATGTCTCCTTGGAGGGAGAAAGACACAAAGAACTAGCCAGGTAGAGAGGGGCATGGAAGATGCATCAGCTTCATAATCACAGTTCATTATCTACCCTCAGTGTAAATCCAAGCAAACGCCTTAATTTCATTATATACCCAGACGAGTGATCTCAGTCTCTTGCTCTTTTCCATCATTGTTAAACACGGTCAGGTAATTCAAATCCAAAATCAAAAGATTCACAGAATTTTATTACTTCTGGGTCATCTAAAAGGATTTCCACATAAATGAAAGGATTGACAGCTGAGGATACCTGTGCAGAAGCCAGGCTGTGATGTGTGCAACATAATGTCTTTGAAACCATTGTATCTAAATAAAATCTCCAAGATATGGTGAGCTTGGAGGGTGTCCATCTTATTATAAGAAAAAAAAAAAATCTTGTCTTGAAGACTCTCCTCAACTAAGAACCAGAAAGTGGAACTGACTAGTCTAATTTCAGGAAGTCAATAAGCGAATGCAAGAATAAAATCAGTTTCTCATACTTTGGGAAAAATTTAATTAAGAATAATTGCACTCACCCACTGCAACCTCTCCATGTACAGGCAGTCCCCGGGTTACATACAAGATAGGGACTGTAGGTTTGTTCTTAAGTTGAATCTGTATGTAAGTCGGAACTGGCGTCCAGATTCAGCTGCTGCTGAAACTGATCAGTTTCAACAGCGGCTGAATATGGACGCCAGTTCCGACTTACATACAGATTCAACTTAAGAACAAACCTACAGTCCCTATCTTGTATGTAACCCGGGGACTGCCTGTACATGGAGAGGTTGCAGTGGGTGAGTGCAATTATTCTTAATTAAATTTTTCCCAAAGTATGAGAAACTGATTTTATTCTTGCATTCGCTTATTGACTTCCTGAAATTAGACTAGTCAGTTCCACTTTCTGGTTCTTAGTTGAGGAGAGTCTTCAAGACAAGATTTTTTTTTTTTCTTATAATAAGATGGACACCCTCCAAGCTCACCATATCTTGGAGATTTTATTTAGATACAATGGTTTCAAAGACATTATGTTGCACACATCACAGCCTGGCTTCTGCACAGGTATCCTCAGCTGTCAATCCTTTCATTTATGTGGAAATCCTTTTAGATGACCCAGAAGTAATAAAATTCTGTGAATCTTTTGATTTTGGATTTGAATTACCTGACCGTGTTTAACAATGATGGAAAAGAGCAAGAGACTGAGATCACTCGTCTGGGTATATAATGAAATTAAGGCGTTTGCTTGGATTTACACTGAGGGTAGATAATGAACTGTGATTATGAAGCTGGCAGAAACAGGATAAATAGGCAATATACCATCTCCAACATTACAGTTTCTATCATTTTATTATTCTGCATTTATTTGGCATGCTATTATCAGAGTGAATTTATTTGAAGTGTTTCCTCCTTGTATAAATATCGTTTCAGGAGGCAACCATTATTCAGGCTACAGAACTTACAAATAGCCCTCCCATTTATAGGTATTTGATAGAAGAGGGAGAAAGCAGCACTTCAATTCTGGGTAAAGGTCCTCCTAGCTTTGGTTTGTATAGTTTTACTTCCACTGCCACATTCACTTCTTGGTTTGGAATTCAAGATGGCCCCTCATTAAAAAGCCACCTAATGGTTTAAAAAAAAAAAGTCACCACACCAGCATCAGATAACATTGATATCATTCAAGAAAAAACAGGCCCTATTGAAGAATTTTCAGGGAGTTTGTTTTATAGAACAAGCACTAATAAAGCCAAAGCTCTTATTACCTGCAGGAAAAAGCACTGCCACTGCAGAACTCCATTATTTACAAAATATATATTATTAATTTCCTCACCCACAAAGTGATGAATGTGCAGTCAGCTTGTAAAAAAGATCAGCACGTATTAAGACAAGAAAGATGTTTAGCCAAACTAATCTGTTCAGGGCAGGATTCCAGGCTAGGAAAAATGTTCAGACTTCATTTAAAGTTCGTGCATCCAGGAATAAAGAAACACGTGATAGGTAATGGGCAAAGGAATGGAGACTAATAATCGATCAAGTTGTTTTTCAGTTATCCTGATGTAAGTCCACTGACATCAAATGAATTACTCTGAAGTTACTTGGATTTTCAACAATGTAACAAAGTACCAGAGAACAGGTACACATTAAATGTGATTTTTGTTTTTAAATATGTGCAATTAAACTAAATGTTGATCTCATGACCTTATTTAGCACTTGTTCATTATTATTATCCTTACTTATTTGTGGTCTACTTTTTCAGCTCCATATACCAGACTGTCTTCTTGGAAGGTAGGGGAAAAAGGACCCTCGGGGCTGCGGGACCAACCCGGCTGTTTTTTTTTTTTTTTTTTTTTTTTTTTTTCTCGCAAAATTTTC